TGGTAGCCGTCCCTCAATTTTAATTGCACGTTTAAATACAAATTGAACTTGTAGATGTGGTCTTAAGGTTAATCCAAAAAAGTATGAATATCAAGTTTAGAGTCCGAGCTACTTATTTCGGGAGAAATTTCTTCATAACCAAAAAGAATGGCAGTAACAGATAATAAACATTATCAAAGCCAAAGAACTTAAAAAAATAAACAAGCAGCCATTCCAGCAGCATCGCCACAGGCAGAAACGTTCAAAAATAACCAAAGAACTTTCCCCCAATAAATCACCTTGACATTACCATTTAGTTAGACCACTTTTAATCCCAAAGCCGACTCCCACATACATTCCAGTACTGATGGACAATCCCACACGGCGCATTTGGGGTGAAAGTGGTCTTGCCCCAGGGACAACACTGACATACCGGCTGCAAGTGGGAATTCGAACTTGCTACCCTCGTTTCGAAGGTCAGCACAATACATCTCGACTTAGCCACAGCCCCCCTTTACAGGCCATAATCACAAATATCAATAAACATAAGTATAACACTGGCTATGGATAGGCTTGCTGAGCTGGATTTTCACAATTAATTAAGAGCCCGTCCTGAAAGTCAAGCTATGTAGTAATAAAGCACAAACTTTCATTTTGAGTTTGGATATTTTCCCTTACACTGAACGAATCTACCTTTTGTCAGTGGTCCAATTAAAGATGTGACTAGGTGGTGGGGTGGATCCACAGTTTGGATTTCATTCCAATGTAGCCACTCCTTCAAACACCCACACTCAGGGATCATAGATTGGCCATTCAAGCTATTTTTACCATGCGCAACTCCTAATGTGGACTTGAACCTTTTTGACAAGCCTAAAATGAACAAACTAGCAGATTCCATTAAGTGAACCGCAGAATAATGCCCGGAGAGGATATCTAAATATGTGATGTTCCCAATTAAAGCATGCAGTGGGTATCAGACTTGGAGATATACATTAATAACCTTTAATGGGTCCCCAGGATAACAAACAGTCCTGGGAGGGATATTTGTGGGTTTGTTCTGTTTTCAACCTTTCATCATCTTATCACTCAAGACAATGGCATTCTTGGTAAGCTAACCACTAGATGACACCAAAGTATACAGTGATGGAAAAACCTCACAACACTGCTTTAAAGGTCCCTATTATACGTTTTTACATCAATATTATGATCTCGGATACACGAACATGTCTCTGAAGTGTTTTGTCTTGAAACCAACAGATCCATTGCAGCCATATACCCATTATCCCCTCCTGTTTCAGCCCTGTGTTCCAAATGTGCTGATTCCTCTGTCTGTTACTTTAAGATGAAAACAGGAGCCACTCCCCTCTGAGAGATGTTGGTTACAAAAAAAAACAATGGTGCCTCTAGGAGGAGATTCAGGTGGAAAGGTGTGGTTGGGGGGGGGGGGTTACCTATGGTTTGCTGATATGAGAACTAAATGTTTACACAAGGACAAATGTCGTTTATGGCATCATAAAGTTCCAAATCTGATCAGTTCATTTTCAAGACAGGTTTTTTATATAAGGATCAGGAACAAAAGAGAGAGAATAGTTTTTCCTGAAACTTCAGAGTCTCTTTACCACAGAGGGGACCAACAATGTTGATGTGAAAGGAGACATGGAAGAAAGAGGGGACACAGTTGATGTAGAGAGACAATGAAGAAGAGGGGACACATGTTGATGAGAAGAGACATGATGAAGAGGGGACACATGTTGAATGTAGAAGAGACCCATGAGAAGAAGGGGACCACTGTGAAATGTAAAAGAAAACATGAAAGAGGGGACCACATGTTGATGTAGAAGAGACTGAAGAAGAGGGGACACAATGTTAATGATGTAGAAGAGACATGGGACCGAAGAGGGGGACACATGCTCTGATGGTGAAGAAGACTGAAGAAGAGGGACCACATGTTGATGTAGAGAGACCATGAGAAGAGGGGGACACATGTTGATGTAGAAGAACATGAAGGACAGAGGGACACATGTTGATGTAGAAGAGCATGAAAGAGGGGAACAACATGTTGATGGAGAAGAGACATGAAGAAGAGGGACAATGAATGATGTTAGAAAAGACATGGAAAAGAAGATTTTTGCCATAATTAGGTCCCCCTTAAATTTCATTTAAAATCAAACTTTTTATTAGAGACGTTCATTTATCTTGGCCTTTTTGTTTGCATAAAAGTGCAATCAAAAGACAGTTTACTTTCATTCGGACACAAAATTATGAAAAAAAGTCCTGTACCTTGTGTATGTTCTTTTTTCAAAGCAGCAAACAGAAATTTTTTTGTCCATTGTGGCAAACATTTTTTCTGTTAAAAGTTTTATATAAAAATGTTTTTAATTCTTATTTTTTCACTTTAATTTTTATTTGAGATAAAAATCATATTAAATATATTGTATAGTTTCTTTCAGTGCGTTTTTAATGATTGTATTAAAATTATCTTTTTTTATTAATTGTTAATTTATTTATAATTTCTTTTTTTTTTTTTATATTTTTATTTGATTGTTATTTTAGTTATTATGTAAAGAAATTGTGGGTCATTTAGTTGTAGTAAAGACTTCTTTTATTTTCATTTAGGGTGGTCCTTAAATTGAAAGGTTGGGAAAGTCTAAAGCTCCAACCCAGATTCATTTCTATTAGTCAAAGAAACTCTCCTGGTGGAATGTTTACCATCAATCTGAACAACATGACACTCCCTCAATCGTCGACCTTGAAGTGGAGCCTCCCAGTTGGCAAGCTGCTGGTGTGGCATGCCCGGGACGATGAGGGAGGGGTAGGCTATGTTGTCAGATTGAGGTAAACATTTCAACCAGGAGAGTTTTCTTGACTAATAGAATGAATTTGGGGTTGGAGCTTAAGACTTTCCCACTTTCAATTTTAAGGCCAACCCTTACGTGAGTGTAGTATATTATTGATACGTCAACATTTCATAAGGCAACTTTCATTGCTGTGCCGGCAGCTTTTAGGAAGACGCCCCTCCCCCCCCCCCCCCGCACGTCCGAGGGACATACAAAACAAATGGCCACAAAAAATAAATCAATTATATTAAAAAAAATTAAACAATAAAAATAATAAATATTTAAAAACTTTAAGAAATACATAGAAATAAATAGGGTGGTCCTTAGTGGCCATGTACAATTTTCGAATTCATGTTATTCTAAGCTCAAAAACCACCGGAATTTTGATTATGATAGTCAAGAAAACTCTACTGGTGAATTGGTATTCAATTCCAACAACCTTTTACCCTCAATCACGACCTTGAAGTTTAGCCTCACGTAGGGTGGTCCTTAAAATTGAAAGTGAGAAAGTCTAAGCTCCAACCCCCAGAATTCATTCTATTAGTCAAGAAGACTCTGGTAAAGGAAAACATGTTCTACTTGGTTGCCTTGTATGTAATAATACAAGGCAACCAAGCAGAACAACACTGTTTGGAAATTAATACATATATTAATGTTAGTAAACATAGATGTAGAAATACATTAAAGATGTGTGTTCTGTTTATTCTTAACTTACATTTTTTCATTAATTTATTTGTTTTTTCTAATGTTTATTTATTCCTGTATTTATTTATTTTCACATTTATTTCTTCTTCTTTTTTGTATTATTCCTGTAATAATGTCATGCTTTGTCATCAATACAGAGCACGACTGTGCTGTTCGTTCTGTGCATAAAGGATCAAATTCATTCAAAATCGCATCAAGACCTATAGTTGGGCATTCATGATTTTTAAAGGTCCCCTATTATGCAAAATCCACTTCTTCATGTCTTTTCTACATGTGTCCCCTCTGTGTAAAGACACTCTGAAAGTTTCAGGAAAAAAGATTCTCTCTCTTTTTGTCCTGATCCATTTATATAAAAACCTGTCTGAAAATAGCTGATCAGATTTTGGCCACTTTATGATGTCATAACGATGTTTTGTCTTGTGTAACCATTAGCCAATCAGCAACCAAGGTAACCCCCCCCGCCCAATGATCTGTTTGGTAAGTTGAAAGCATGGATTGATTACTAATGGGGATGTAATGCTTTGCTCAAAGGTTACAGTTACATGCAAAAACCCCATAACAACAGAGCTTCGGTCATTTCATACTTCAAGGGCTTTTATGCAGCAATAAAATTACTAATTTGATTACTGCAAATACTACTTTGTTGTAAGAGTAACTTTTTTAAATGGTGGTCTTCCATACCCTGACTGTGCCTCCCTCTAGGGGGGCTTTACGGTAAGGACAAGGCCAATACAGTGCTACCCTTTTCACAGTTCTTATTTTTATTCATTTATTTATTCATTCATTTATTTATTTATGCATTTATTTATGCTAGTATTTATTTATTTACACATTTATTTATTTATTTCCTAATGTATCTATTCTATTATTTATTCCTGTATTTATTCCTGTTTTTATTCATACATTTATATATGCATTTATTTATACTTATTTAATAAATACATTCCAAATCATTAAAAAAAAGAGGCACTCGTGGTTGTTGCAGTTGCATGGAGTGTAAGGTGCAGAGAGGTGAGACTCTTTACATATTTTACATTTGGGTTGTTTCCATGGCCCCTATTTGAATAAATTAAACACATCCTAAAAAGATATAGTCAATGCATGGCACGTTTATTTATGAAGCAATTATGTCAAAACAATACAATCCAAAAAACAAACGTATTAGGACATAGTGCAACAGAATCCCATTAGAAAATTACATGTACATGACCTTTACTTTACTTTACTTTATTCAAAGCAGTCATTTTTATCTGTAAAGCGATTTTTTTCCCCTTTTCCATCAATACTTTCTTGAATATTCTGTGGTTAACATGTTGCTCATATGCGAAAAATGTGGAACGTGAATGCTGTTCACGTCGATTGGTCGATTCATTCCAGAGTCGTCATAGTGGGACGTTGTGATTGGCCCGCTGATCGATCAATCACCAAAACGCCGGTCGTGTAGGCGGGGCATCGGTTGGTTTACCGCTGTGGCTTTCTTCAAGATGGCGAGGCTACATCAGTTGAGGCAGTATGGCGGCGCATGGAGAACACAATAATTTAGAAAGGTAGTCAGGTGCCCAAAAAGAAGACAGCCGTCTCATTTTAATTGGTGAGTATTTCTCTAATAAGCGGTTTTTTGGGCTAGCTGACCAACGGATATGTGTGTGGCTGCTTGTTAGCATATTAGCATGGATGTTAACTAGGGGCCCGTTGTGCAGCTGCAGAACAGACGAGGCTTGTATCCATTTGTATTGCCTTTTATCTACATGTGATTCGAACTTAGATACTCCTATTCCCCGGAATGTTAAACCATATGTTTATTTTCCTTGATTCAAGAAAGAATATATGCAGTGGTGTAAAGTAACTATGTAGATTTACTCAAGTACTGCACTCAAGGACCATTTTTGAGAGAATTGTACTTCAAGTGAGTATTTAAATTGCTACTGTGTACTTCTACTCCACTACAGTTCAGAGGTAAATTGTGTACTTTTACTTCACAACATGTATTTAATAGTTGATACCTTTTGTTACTCTACTACAACTGAAGTAACATCCACAAGCTGCTAATACTTTTGTACTTTTACTTGAGTAACATTTTGAATCCAGGACTTTTACTTGTAACCGAGTATTCCTACACTCTGGTACTTGTACTTTTACTCAAGTACAAGATCGGAGTACTTCTTCCACCTCTGTATATATGTATCAAACATTATATACACACACAACATTGACATTTGGGTTACATAGGTACATATACAGAGTAAATAAAGACAGAAATGTAAAGAAAATATTGATTAAAAACAATCAACATTTCAAGTAAAATATTTATAAAATAATAAAAGGTTTTGATTATTTTTAACTATTTGTAATTGTGGTGCCATATTGATGTTATTCTAAGCACACATGTGCCAAAGCAGTTAGTCAGTCCATTTATTCTTGTGAATGAGAAATGTTCCCCACAAATAAAATTAGCTGTTTACAAAAAACAATATTTGTATAAAATCGATCACTTTTAAAGTGTATCGCTTGTCCCATTTATATTTTATGACTCAACATCAGTCCAAGGCATTTTAGAGTACAACAGTGATTGAATAAATGACATATTCTCTTCATGTAAATAAGAAAAATTACAAGAATATTCTATATACATTTCATATCTCTCTCGTGTCTTTTAAAAACCCATATGTTATGTTCAAATGTTGAATATTGTTTAACTGACAGCTAACGTTCCTCTCACTTGTCTTCTTTTGCAGCTTCCAGAAGATTCAAGTGGAGGATGATCAGTGCCTAGATCCCATATTAAGCTGAATGCATTGTGATTTCCAATAATTGAGACAGTGATTCTGAAAGCTGTCTACATTAATGAAAAGAACAATGTAGACAGCTTAGCAATTTCACCTCTGGTACGTGGTCTATACAGGGATGTGCTTCTGCATGCTGCATTCTGGGTTCAGATAGGAAGAAAGTGTCTTAAAACAGGTCAGATTTTAGAATAAATTATCAGTGCGTATAAGCTGTAGTTCGTTATTCAGTGGAAATGGAGATAGACGATGTGCTACCCCCTCTCCCCTTGGATCCACCTGGTTTTTTTGACCTAGATGAGGGCATGGCACCTCCACCACCTCCCCTGCAAACGTCCAGTGACGCAGAGGTAATGGACGTTAGCTCTGGTGGTGATGGACACACAGACACCCCAGGGGAAGGGGAAGCCATGGCACAGCAACCCCTCGCTAAGGGCTCAATCACTTTCTGTAGCCACCTCTCAGACGAGGCCATTCCCAACCCTCAGTGCCCCAGAACAGCCCGCCACGCCCCCCCAGTCTCCGGGTTCCTACCAGACCTCAAGCTGCTCAGAGATGTTAAGATCCGTGTGAGCTTCACCGAAAGCAGCAGCAACATCAACAGCAAAGACAGGAAGGTTTTGTACACAGGCGAAGGGCAGGAGGCAGGAAGTGATGATGGTTTAGACAGCATGAATGGTGAGATGCATGACTCAGGTGAGGGAAGCTCTGGAGCGGGAAACTTAGCAGGCAGGAGATCAGATGAGTCCGAGGTAGACATGGAAAACAAGGTAGAGTTCGCCGTACTGGATGAGCTGGACGACCACTACGAGAACTTCCTGGATCATGACGACATGGAGCACGGTGGCTTTAAGTCTGAGGGCATAGCGCAGCAGGATCAAGCGGATGAGGAGAGCGTGACTTTCGCCTATGAGGTATGTCTGTTTCTATGTCTGCAGTAACCCATGCGATTGTCAGCTACACACACACATGTTGTCCTTTTTAACTGTCGAACAGAAATATTGTAAGACTTACAGTTCATTTAAGACAAGGCATTATTAACACTGTCATTTCTGCGAGACCACTGCAGTAGCAAAGCGGTTGTGCAAACAAAACGACAAGGTTGTCCAGTTTTTAAATGTTAATTTTGCTGCAGTACAACATCGAATCTACCTACCTGCCTTAAGCTGTAAGAACCTTGAGTATTCAGCTGGCCTGTTTATCCTTTACAGTTGCAATTTTGCATTAAATACATGTTGTGTTGTACGTTTATAGTCATGCTTTTTGGAGGAAAATAGCTCGAAGTACTTTTCTAATGTTATTCTAATTTAATACTGCATCACTCCTGGTTAAGTTGGGAGCAGCAGGAATTTAGATACATGTTTGTTTTTGTTTTTTATTACTGAATGAGAAGTGAGATGCTGGAAGAGGTTAGTGACATTTTTGATTCCTCCCATTACATTTTGGGTTTTCTTTTGATGCAAAAATCAATCAATATTAATGGAGAGGGGATCGAAGCTTCTAAAATAATGACATTCAAATTGTAGGGGTTGACACCAGTCCAGTATGGTCTGTCTCTAAATCCAGGAGTATTTTACTTTTAAGTGGGGGACTGATGATTTTAAAAATATATTGTGCACTCCTTTTGTTTGTTTGTTTCTCCGTCACATGAGACTAAGCTGTTTTAAACTGAGCCCTGTACTACGAAGACAGATTTTCGCTTAGCGAGCTAACTTCAGGGTTAACTCTGGGTTTCCGGTCCTACGACGCTGGTTCTCTTCTTACCGGGCTAGATCTCCATGGTAACTTATGCTGAACGGCAAACCTGCTCCGGAGCAGGTATGGTTCCAGGATAAGAGATCAACTCAGTGAAAGCACCGCCTGCTGACCAATTAGAGCTCAGTGTGCGGAGTTTAAAGCGATCAAGTCATATTACAGGAGAAAGGAAATACAGAAAAACTGCCGTTGCAGGAAAGACGGCCGGCAAAAATCAACTGACTGTGAAAATGAATAGAATATCACCTCCCATCTTCAGAGCAATCTGACTATTATAACATTAGCGTTAAGAAANTATTTTTAATGACAATCAAACATGTGGGAAGAGGGGGGGCGGCGCCCCTAGCGCCCCTATGGGCCGGCCGCCACTGGCCTATACTACGAATCAGGATTTTCGTTTAGCAAGCTAGCTTCAGGGATTTCCGGTCCTACGAAGCTGGTTAACTTTTTGGCGGGCTAGATAACTTATGCTGAGCGGCTAGCCTGCTCCAGAGCAGGATAGGTTCCAGGATAAGAGATCAACTCAGTGAAAGCACCGCGCCTGCTGACCAATCAGAGCTCAGTGTGCGGAGGAAATATAGTTTAAAC